TCTCTCTCTCTCTCTCTCTCTCTCTGCGTACACGTCCCTGTTAGGACTGAGTCCTTCATAAGGATACTGTCCTCATTCCCCCACTGTGCACAGCTTCCCAGAAGTGCTCAATTAAACATCAGCCCAGCAAACAGAGGCACGAAGGGGAAGGAGAAACCGTTCAAGCCTGCCAGTCCTGGAGGGTCGGCACTGTGGTTGCACCCATTTTACAGATGAGGAAACAGGTTCAGGAGGTGCAGACTTGCCCGAGGCCAAACAGCTCGTAACTAGAGAGGCTACGAGTTGAGCGCAGGCCCTTCTGAGTCCAGAATTTGGGTGCACAGACGCCAGGTGCAGAGTCGGAGGAAGGCACGGCTATACCAAGCGTGTATGCATTCTGTAGTTGGTGAGCACTTTCTCCCGAGTTAGCCTGTTCACTCAGCGGTAGCCCCAGGAAGGTTCTCTCCAGCTTAGAGCTGAAGAAATGGACGTTTGCACGAGGTCGGCCCACTGCATCCCGGTTCTCTCTAACGGCAGCGTCTCCCCTTGCTGGCCAGGCATGACCTCCCAGGCCCTGGTAAGCTTGTCTTCAGGAATCTGACCCCTGCTACAGTCCCAGTCACCCCCGGCGTGTCCTCAGCAGCTCCCACGTCTCCGGGCTGAGCCCAAAGAACCAAGCCTTGCGTGCAGACAGAGGGGTTTGGGAACCCTGAGGGTCTGTCAGAGCGAGCGGCCTTCCGGACTGGGGCTCCTACTGCAAGGTCGACCTCAGCCACCTGACTCCGGGCATCACCATCCTCACTAGGTATAAAGGCTCAGCTCCCTGAACAGGGGTCCGATCCTGAGCTGATTCTTCTTCAGGAGTCACTGCATCTGGGCCCTGGAGTCCCCCGGGGGATCCCTGTCCAGTGGTGAGAATCAAGCTGAGCCCTGGCTAAACAGGTACCTCCTTGGCCCCCAGATGCTATTATCAGAATGGCTGTCCCCAGATGTACCCTTCAGGTGGGATGGGGCGGGGCTCACCCGGCTGGGCGGGAGCTTTACCTGGGGCCTCCACTTGGAGGTTTGGGCGACGGGCCAAGTTTACTGCCATCAGAAAATTAACAAAAAAAAAATGTCTACGTATGTGTCAGGCAGGGAGTGGGAGGTGTTAGGGTAACAGAAGAAGACTGGCTTGTTCCAAAATGCCTGAGTATCTCTGCAGAGTTCAACATGTGCAGGAAGAAGACGGAGCGAGTTAGCCGCTCCCGTGTGGCACAGGGCACTGCGCCTGGACTCCCAGTGATGGGCAGATGGGCTGAGGCCCGGCTGGGCGGGGACCCTGCCCCTGTAGCCCTCAGCCTCCACAGCCCCCTGGAGAGCAACGCAGGGTTAGCTGGGAAGGTCCCTGTTCACATGGGAAGCCCAGGGCACGGCTCAGGTCACTTCCTCCCATCCGAGGGGCGGGAGCTGAGGCTCAGAGGCTCACTCTTCTCCTCTGGTGTCCCCATGACACACGTGTGACAGCTCGGTACTTGTCCCGCAGTCCGGGGATACTCTGTTCTGATTTGTCCAGTCTGCGTTCTCCCCGATTTTCGGCTTTAGAGGTTTCTATTGACAGGTGCCCGGGCCCAGAGACTTGTTCCTCCAGCTGCATCATTTTTAACAGCTTTGTCAGGGTTAGGGGTGGCCGTGGTAGGGCTTCCTCGGATTTATTATTTTCAACAACTGGGGGCCAGGTTCTTTTCTGTCTCCGTCACCAATTCCCATCCGTCCTTCAGGCTGTGTTAACTTGCCGGGCTGCCCCAGCAAAAGACCACAAACTACCAGGCTTCAACAATGGCAATGTGTTGTCTCACATTTCTGGAAGCCAGAAGTCCAAGGTTAAGGTTAACAGGGTTGGTTCGCCCCGACGTTATTTCCTCCTTCCTGTGAGGCAGGATCTGTTCCAGCTTCTCTCCTGGCTTGTGCTGGTTTGCTGGCCATCTTCGGCCTTCCTTGGCTTGTAGACGCATCGCCCTGATCTTTGCTTCCGTCGCACCTGGCATTTTCCTGTGCTCATCTGTCTTCAAATTTCCCGTTGGCCGTGAGGATATCGGCCCTATTGATTAGGGGCCCACCCTAGTCCAGTATGACTGATTATATCTGTAATAACTCAATTTCCAAATAGGGTCCCATTCTAAGGTACCAGGGGCTAGGTCTTCAACACATGAACTCAGGTCGAGGGAGACTGCATCCAGTCTGAAACAAAGGCTCATCAGGGAATCTCACCTCCTCCAGGAAGCCTTCTGCACCCGCTTAGGCTCATGCAGTCCCTGTTCTCTGGAACCCCCACGGCACATAGTGTTAGAGGAACTCAGTGGCCTCAGCTGTGCCTGGCTTCCTTGGGTGTTTACATTTTGGTCTAAGGCTGGACTGGACTCCAGGTCGGTAACATTTCCAGTGTTGGAACACCAGCACAGCGCAGCAGAAACCCTCTGATCTAATATTATTGGGACTGGTGGTTAGGCGGTAAATTGGAAAGCCGGAAGGAATGTCAATGGAAGGCTGGCCAGCGACACGGGTGCCGCATGCAGCGGGCAGCAGATTTATGCAGGAATAGAAAGCAGAGGTTAGCTGCTGCATTGGGTGAGTGGAATTTGGCTAGGAGAGATTCCACATAAAAAACAAACAGCAGCCCTTGAACCCGAGATGAATGAAAACTGGATGCAAAGTCATCGGACCTCCCATTGAGAGTGCATTTTTTTTTTTTTAAAAGGAACCATCAACACTCTGGACCATTTAAGATCTCTGCCTGCTTTGGATGTCGAGGGAAGTAGCCCTACAGAACCATCTGGGGGCTTTAGAGCGGAAAGGAATTCTGGGTCAGAGTAAGGGGCCCCCGAGGAGCCTGGATTCAGAGAAGTAAAGTGGTCTTCTGACAGTTAAGCTGCAAAACAAACATAGTAGGTCAGAGCAGAGAACAGCGAGGACATTGTTTCGCGTGACTCGCGGCCTTCTCGTGTGAGAATGTGGTCATCGGAAGCGAGTGCGTGTGAGCTGGACGCTTAACCGACTGAGTCACCCAGGCGCCCCCGCAAAGGTAAGCTGTCTTATACGCCTGGTGACCAGCCCACCTCTCTCTGGGGACAGCTGACCCCAACTAACCCTAGCACACTCCTAGCTCGCTCCTGGGGGAGGTGGCAGGGGGTTGCAGACAAGGAGCTCCCCTCGCAGCCACTTGGTCACCAGCCCGGAGTTTGGGTCATTTCACCAAACTTCCCAGACTGCTGAGTTGGGTCGCTTACACCTGCTTTTGTTTTATAGCAGTTCGGGGGAAAGCAAAATCGTCACTGAGCAAACGCACTATCCTCCGGTGCCTTGTTACTTACTCCAAGTATGTTCAATGGACCAGCGAAACTGATCTCAGCGAGGAACTTGTTAGACATGCAAACCCTTAGACCAGGCCTATGGAATCAGAACCTGCGTTTCTGACCCCCAGGGACAGTGTGTGTGTGTGTGTGTGTGTGTGTGTGTGTGTGTGTGTGTGTATCAGAGTGACAGAGCGCTGCTCCAGTGCAACTTTCATGGCGAACCCACGATCTACCTAATTGACTCTGGCAGAAAAATCCAGCATCTAGCGGTTGCCACCGCTCCCCAGCTCCAGAATTTGCATCCCAGGGGCTGCCCAACAGGACAGAGGTTTGTGCTTCTTCCTGCCTTGTGATCTCCCCTCTTCTTTCCTGAAACTCCTATACTGCTCCACAGCCCTGCCTTCCTTTATCATTTTAATGACATCCCTCTGCTATTTGCTGATTGACTCAGTATTTGTTTCCCTGAAAAGCACGTTTTTATTTCAAGGGAGTTGTCCACGTGAGCTCTACTGCTGTGCTCTGTCCCGTTGCTCCTGGCGGGTACTGCTCCAGACCTGGCATGCACCCTCCGGGGCTCAGGAGCAAATAGGATCCTTAGACTTCCAGACAATCCCTGCGCCCCTCCTCTGTGCTTTCTTCGCCTGCTCAGATGTGCAGACCTAGCACGGAGGAACGCCCTCCCTGCATTCTTTCTCCCCGTCTCTTACCTGCTCTGAAGAGAATTCAAACACAAGCCAATGACAAACAGAAAACTCCAGTGACAGCCCAAGAACTCCTAAATTTTCCAGATTGCTGGCACCACTTCCTCTACCTTTATATCCTTGCATGCCTAAGCAAGCCTGCCCCTCCGGGCCCAGCCCCAGCAGCTGCAAGCAAGTGCCTGCTCATTCCAGATGCTTTGAGAAATTTCTGGGGCTCCAGGGATCAGTCTCTTCCGATCTCTTCCCAGAATGGGGTACAGCTAAGGAGCGCGGTCCCTCGGAGTGGGGAACAGAGAATGGAGCCCAGAACTCTCTCAAATCCAACTTTTTCAAAGGCTCCCTTGGCTTCTCACATGGAATATCAACCAACCAACCAACCAACCAATCAACGAAACAACCAATAAATAAACCTGGTGAATGCGCCACAGGAATCCCAAGGCAGATAAAGAAAAGCTCCCAGTTGGCAGGGTTGTGGCAAAGAGCTCTATCTCTATCCTGGGCAGCTGTATGTGGGAACTCAAAAGAAAGGTCTCGAATTTTCCTCAGGCACCCAGAAATTACGTTTCTATCCTCAGAGTCAAGTTGAAAATAGTGGTTGGAAATCTTGTGTCACTTTGCCAGAGAAGGGGGATTGGGAGATGATGTGATTCCCAGTTGGTTCCTGTGGTCCCGCATTTGCAAAGGGCTTGGTAAGGTAGAGACTCCACACTGGCCCCCTTGTGCTCTCGATAGGTGCGAGGAGGCCAGTATTTCGCCTCCAATCCTTTTATTCTCTAGAGCAGAGTTTTTCATTTTGGGTGGGAGAAGCGAAGCCATTGAATAATTCATTTCGTAACGAAGAGTTAATCATTTCTTAAAGCCTTCCGCCTCTCACCAGCTGACCCTATAATTAGACCAAGCGTGATCATTTCCTGCTGGCTCTCCAAAGCAAGATCTATTAGTCAGGGTCTATCAGGAAACAGATGACATGCTCAGAATAGGATAATTTAACAACTCCTTTAAAAAAAGAACTATTTACGAGAGGTGTAGGGAAACCAAATGGGATAGTACAGGCTACGGGGACAATAAATGACTGTGGGACTCTTACCACCCTGGGCCTGAATGGGTAAGGGCAGAGAGCGTTACGGGAGTCTGGAAGGAGACAATCGAATGGAGAGGGTCATTTGGAGAGGAGATGGGCCCGTCGGCTGGGGGCCTTAGCCAGCCTGAGCGACCCTGTGAGAAGGGAGCCAAAGGAATGACTACTCCAGCCTCAGTCTCCTTCTTCTCTGGGATCTTGTGCTGCACCCTCACCCAACCCCCACCTCCCTCGCTGACCCAACCCCATCAGGAGCCTCTTAATGTAGTACAGGTGAGTCACTCTCGCGGGGCAGAGAGTAGGGAGGAGGAGGTAAAGAGGGCATCTGGGGCGGCCAAGAGGAGACGCACGGCATTCGTCCTGGAGACCCCATCTGATTAATTCCTTCTGCGGCTACAGCGACACAAACACCTTGTCATTTTGCTCTTGAACTATCCACTCCTGTGTCATCATCAGTATGCATGGTGTAGATATCTTATCTCCTAGACCATCGCGTTAACTTTGGGGATAGAAATTGTGTCTTGTCACACATTGCCCCTGGGTCCCTCTCTTGCACATGTAGGTGCTCAGTGTGTGTGTGTGTGTGTGTGTGTGTGTGTGTGTGCGCGCGCGTGTGTGCGTACGTGCGGGCATGTACATCATTGAGGACGGACTAAGTAATACTGCAGTAATGACCACCAGATCTCGGCGACCTTGCACAACAAATGCCTTCTCTTGTTCGTGCGACCTGTCCAGGGCAGGTCCGCAAGGGGCGCTCTGTATGTCATTGACTCTGGGGACCCAGGAGAGCTTCCTCCTGACACACACACATCCACAGTCACAACAGAAGAGGGAGGAAGAGGGAGTGAGTAACATACTGGCTGAAGTGTCTGCCCAAAGTGTCACTCTGGACAAATGTCACTGGCCAGAGCGCGTCTCATGGCCATGCCTGACGTTTACAGGGGGGGAAAGCAAAATCCTTGCATTCTGAGAAAGCGGAGAGCCAGAACTATTTGGTGAACAGTCCCCACAGTGAGCAAGGATGGTGTCCATCAGGGAGCCATGGAGGGGCAATTCATGTTTTTGAATTTAATTGAATGGTAGGTGTTAATAAAAATTAAATGAATAAATAAATCAGGTGCCCAGGGACGGTGGAATTCAAATGATTTCTAATGGGCAGACTGGCTTGTATTCCAGCATCTATTTCTGGCCAGTTTTAGCAGAGCCTGTTCTATTTCATATGAACTGCTCCCGAGATATGGATTCTTTCACTCCCCCCCCCCCCACCGGGTTATGTCATTATTTTCCAGATTCTCATGTCCTTGGCTATTCTTGAAGACTCCAACAAATCAGAGGGGGCACCTGAGTGGCTCAGTTAAGTGTCTGACTCTTGCTTTCGGCTCAGGTCACGAACTCCTGGTCCATGAGATCGAGCCCCACGTTGGGCTCCATGATGATGGCTCAGAGCTGGCTTGGGATTCTCTCTCTCCCTCTCTTTCTGTCCTTCCCACATGCTCTCTCTCTCTCTCTCTCTTTCTGTCTCAAAATAGATAAGCAAACTTAAAAAAAAAAAGACTCCAACACATCGGCATGGCTGTGCTTATTGATCTTGACGCCTTCTTTGGCTCTGCTCCAAGGAAAAGGTAGCTGCTGGCTACTGTCCTCTCCCGCTGTATGTGGAATGTTCCCCAGGAAGGGTGCTCGGTGCCATCCACACACTTGCCCAATCCTGGGCCCCCAGGAAATCCCTGAGCCTCACAACACGTCACGTCACCTCACAAATAGGAAAGGAAGGAATAAAACTTTCCAGATCTGGGCAATCTCTCTATTGAATGAACATATTTCAAAAATGTAATCCAAGTTCTCAGCATTATTTTCAAAAGTAGAAAAGCCTATTCAATCACCTTCAGAAATTGCACCTAAGAACTGTGTGGGTGCTGCCCCTGGCCAACTTTACCATCAGTGTCTTGTCTGCTCAGCTTCTCAAAGAAATTGCCTTGAAAACACATGAAGAGGCTGTGACCAAAGGTGTGAAATAAGGTTATATACAAAAACCAAAAAAACAAAAACAAAAACAAAAAAGCCCAGACAAGGTTACAGTGTCTCTTCTCTGCTCCCTCCTATTTTTTTTTTTCTTGTAATCTTTTGCACACCACAAGCCCTGAAAGGAAACACCTTAAAGTGAATTGTTAAAGGGATTTTGATGGCTGGACTTAGGCAGATAGATATTTTCTTTCCAATGGCAAACCAGATCTCTTGGAATGAACATTAATTCACGAGAACCGTAGGGGCCTCTGGGCGGCGAGAAGGATGAAATGGACCCTTGTCACGTGAAATGTACATGATAGAGTGATTGTAGCAGGAATCTCAGAAGCCGGCAAAAGTGATGGCTGGCAGGGTCCTTACCTGTGTCCCCGAGGGAGCGTGGGTCAGGTCAGCTCCGGAACCTTCCTGAGGGCCTTTTTAGCCCTGCCCGTCTTCTTCAGCTTTTCCAGCAATTTGAATTCTGATATAACCTGCCAGGCAGGGAATGAAAATGATCAGAAATAGTAGCTCACACTTTTCTAATGCCCTTCCTGATTAGTATAAGCTCGCTTCAGAGAATTCCAAAAGTATGAAAGATAGAAGAAAATAAAGAAAACTGTCTTTCCTCAGCCAGTGATAATCACCATCGATGTTCTGATACCTCTCTCTCCCTTTTTTTAGCTTTTAGTCTTGTCTTCATTGTTTTTCTTATTGAAGATAATTAACATACAATATTGTATTAGTTTCAGGTGTACAATGTAGTGTTTTGAAATTTATATACATTATGGAATAGTCACCACGATGAGCCCACCACCATTGTCACTGTACAAAACTGTTACAATATGATTTAATGTTTATTTATTTTTGAGAGAGAGAGAGAGAGAGAGAGAGAGCGAGCCAGAAGGGGAGGGGCAGAGAGAGGGAGACACAGAATCCGAAGCAGGCTCCAGGTTCTGAGCTGTCAGCACAGAGCCGGACGCAGGGCTCGAACCCATGAATCGTGAGATCATGACCTGAGCCGAAGTCGGACACCTGAGCCACCCAGGCGCCCCTACAATATTATTGATGACATTCCCTATACTGTACATTACATCCCCGTGTCTTATTTATTTTAAAACTGGAAGACTGTACCTCTTAATCCCCTTCACGTGACTATTTCTTTTTTTTTTTTCAATGTTTATTTATTTTTGGGACAGAGAGAGACAGAGCATGAACGGGGGAGGGGCAGAGAGAGAGGGAGACACAGAATCGGAAACAGGCTCCAGGCTCTGAGCCATCAGCCCAGAGCCCGATGCGGGGCTCGAACTCACGGACCGCGAGATCGTGACCTGGCTGAAGTCGGACGCTTAACCGACTGCGCCACCCAGGCGCCCCATCACGTGACTATTTCATCCATCCCTCCACCCCTGGCCCTCTGGCAACCATCAGTTTGTTCTTCTATCTATGAGACCGTTCCTGTTGTTTTTTATTTTTTGTTTGTTTTTTAGATTCCGCATATATGTGAAATCATGTAATATTTGTCTTTCTCTGTCTGACTTATTTTACTTAGCACAATACCTTCTAGATCCATCCATGTTGTTACAAATGACAAGGTTTCATTCTTTTTTATGGCTGCCTAATATTCCAGTGTGTGTGTGTGTGTGTGTGTGTGTGTGTGTGTGTGTGTTTTATATATATATATAAAACATCTTTATCCATTCATCCAACCTATGGAAGTAGGTTGCTTCCATATCTTGACTATTGTAAATAATGCTGTGATGAACATAGGGGTGTGCATGTCTTTTCAAATTAGTGTTTTCTTTGTTGATTTTAAGGTTAAATATTTCCATCATTCATTCATCCTTATGTTTTGAACACATACTATTGTCCTGTTCTCAGCCCTAGTGATATAACAGTAGAACAAACAGACCAAGTGTGGTTCTCATGAAGGTAAAATAATATCAGAGACAGTTATTAAAATTCAGTGAGTGGAAAGACAGCAAGACAATTGCTTGCAAATTAAGCAGCGTGCTTCTAAATAACTCATGGGTCAAAGAGAAATCTCAAAGGAAATTACAAAATACATAGAACTTTAGCGGGAGTTAAAATATAACATCAACCTATGTGGGGTGCAGCTAAAGCAGAACTGAGAGGGAAATTTATAACACTGAGTTCTCCCGGCAGAAAAGAGAAAATGTCTCAAGTTAGCAACCTAAGTTCTCACTTCTAAGAAAAAGAAGACCAAACCTAAGTCAGCAGAAGGAAGGAAATAATAAAGGTAGAAGCAGAAATCATTGAAACTGTAAATGGAAAAATACAGAAAAGATCAAATGAGAAGCCGGTTCTTCAAAAACATCAATAAAACGGGTAAACTTCCAGCAAGACTGACAAAGGAAAAGAAGACACAGATAACCAGTATCAGAAATGAGACCGGGGATATTGCTATGAATCCTGCAGCCATCAAAAAGATAATAAGCAGATACTTTAAACATCTTTACGTTCATAAATGACCACTTAAAAGAAATGGAACGACTCCTCAAATACCACAAACTACCAAAACTCGGCCAACATGAAATAGACCGGCTGAAAAGGCATCTAACCATCGAAGAAACTGAGTTTATAAAATTTAAAAAGCTCCTGAAAAAGAAATCTTCAGTCTCTGCTGGTTTCCCTGCAGAATTCCTCCAACGTTTAAAGAGTTAACATCAATTTTACATCATCGTTTCCAGAAACTAGAAGAGGAGGGAACATTCCTCAACTCCCGTAGTGAAGCTAGTGCTCTCCTCATGTACCCAAACCAGGCAAAGTCGAGGGAGGAGACTTTTGGTTTCCAGTCTGGTAACGAAAGGGTTTAGAAGGTACCAATTTATTCCAACAAATAAAAAGCCGAACAGACTGAAAAATGCACCACTCTTCTTTGATCCATCAAAGTAGTGAGGTCACAGGGCAAACCACGGCGCCCCCCCCCCCACACCCCCCAATTGGAGACACAGACCAGAGGATAGAGAGAATCACAGTTTGCCAGGGCCGAAACCCACCGGCAGAAACCTCTGGGGAAATCGGTGAGGGGGTTGAGGGGGAGGAACCCGGAAGTGTAACGGACAAAGGGTGGGAGGCTCAGTGCACACCAGTCTGTGAATTAAAAACTCCAGGGGGCTCCATCATGGTGGCCCTCACGGTTTTGTGAGTTTTATCTCCAGGAGCGCCACCAGGTTCTCGCGGTGAACATCCCAGAAAAATCCCCCTGTGCTTCCAGCAGGAGGGGTGGAAAAAGGGAACATTGTAAAGAT